AAAGAGTTGAACCTTTCTTTTTTTTTTTTGGTGTTGTATTAGCAGTTGCATGTGGATATTGCACTTATGCTACAATTCACACAGCACAGCAATGGGCAATACCAAGCTAAAAGTCTTCTATAAAAGGCAAAAAGTGTGTTCGCTGTGGTTATCCTTAAGTTAGCAGCCTCTCCTCATTAGTCAAGCAGTGGCTTCTGGTATGCTGACAATTTAAGTTGGAGGGGAAAAGAATTCTCCTTAAAGAGACAAGATAAAAAGGTACCGAGCTCAAGAACTCGGTTCGTTCTCGAGAGAACCGGATTTCATGTCACACGCACAGTACGGCTGAAAGGTACTGCGGGGCAAGTAATTCCTCTCTACTCAGAGGAAGTTCTACCAGGGAGTCCCTGTAAGACAAGCTGCAGCCAGTCCCACTGACAATGAAAAGAGGCCTGGAGACAACAGGACAGGTAGGAAAGCTTTTAAACAACAGGACAGGTAGGAAAGCTTTTAAACAACAGCTGTAGAGTTCTCCTTCCCGAAGGTAGCTTGGCAGTTTTAACAGTAGCCAATCACTGCCAGAGCAGAACATTTACAACACCTAAGCCTTAACTTCATTACTGAGATCATGATCAGAAGAGAAACAAACACTGAAGATGATCTTTAAGAGTATTTTAGACAAGTGTTTTTACATTAGAGTTTGATACTTTAGAGTTATGCCCTACTATTCAATATACTTGGAAAGCATAGTAAAGCATTTAATTGGGGTCCTATCACCTGCTAATGCAGAACACAATATATTGCTTTTGCAATGCCATCAGAACTACCATCTAGAAATCAACACTAAATGGCAAAAAACAGGGCCCTGTCTTATAAAAGACAACAAAACCAAATGCTGTGGGTTTAAGAACAGTAATGCTCATGGAACATAACTTTTTGGAAAGGTTCAAGTCTTAGGAAGAGATTGCTGCTATAATTTCCCTTATGAGCTTATGGCATCTTGAAAAGCTTGCATTATATTCTGGAATTGCAATAGCTTGAAGTTTAAAAATACTGAGACACAAAACTCTCCAGGATCACATCTTCTCCCTGTCATGACCAACTGATTTCACTAGCTATGGTGGAAATTCAAGTTCACACCTCAGCCCATCCTCTGTGCCCAAATCTATGTGCTTCCAGATTAAAATAGGGCCTCTGTAACACCTACTGAGACTGTTCAAGTTCAAGTAAGGTAAAATTACAATTTCACCATATGTTTTGCCATACTCCACTCTGGAAAGCTATTTTAATCTGGCTTGAAGCAAGATGCTAACACAATTAAGGAATACCAACTAACACTATACACCCACTGTTGTAACAATTCCCCCCTCATCCACAAATGGAACTGGCAACTTTAATATTAGATTTTCTTAAAGAAAAAACTCAATGTAAAAAAGCAATGCTTGTTCCACTCTGCTAGAGCTTGACTCAAGTTTAAGTCTAGAAGACTTGTGACTGCAAACAAAAAGGCTTGGAAAGCAATGGGGAAAAAAAATCTTAAACCAAACCTAGACAATGGAGCCAGTGTTTGCAGCTCACTGTTAAATAACTGGAAGACTAACAGCACCAACACAAACCTCATTTTGAAACACAGCTTACTGATGACAAGAGCCTAACTGAGGGATTACTGTTACCACAGTACAGGAAAACAAATGTATTCCATGGTACTAGGGTATCTTCTATAGGGGAGAAAAATACCAGATCTTCTACCCCAGGAATTAGTAAGTTCAGCATATATTCCCAAATTGAAGCATTTGCATTATGTTTAACACCATACAAGATATTTGTCACTGGGAAGGCCAGAAGTTCAATAGATAGCATTCACACACCCACTAAGCACATGGTCTGAAAAACAAATACAGAAACAATACTGTTCAACACTTCATTTAGCCAACAGAAAAAACACAAATGAATTTTCTCAATGTTTTAACCTTCAAATCAGCAAAGCAACTGCTTTATTGAATTTAAGCATTCAGTTTGAACATTACAAGCAGTAGTCTGTAAGCAAAATCTGTGTCTCTTCGAACACTCAAATACTAAGATACACTTCTGTAGAGGAACGTAGCTACTCTTTCTCTAGAGGATGAGTTTTCATCAGCCATTCAGCATGCAAAAGGACAGCTTACCAACAACATGAAGTTCTAGGGGGTGTGTGTGTCTTAAGAGGTAAGCAGGGAACTAGCAAAATACACTAAGCTATTCAGACCCTTTATAGACCCACACAGCACAATACATACCCCTTCTTGCTTTGCGAATAAGTTGAGGCAGTCAGCCAGGGTCTCGCATGTTTCCTGGGATACTTCAGAGACCACATCAACTTTTTGCAGGAGGGGAGAAGATATTCCTGAAAGTACAAAAGATTAGTAGCATTAGGGGGACATTGTAAACTACAGGACTCCTTCATTTTTTCCTCCAATTAATACAGACATAACATTCATATTCTACAGGAAGGCTGGTGCACTGTAAGATCTGTGTGAGGAAAGGGCAAGCAAAAGTAGCACTGAGGAAACCCAAGTTTGTTCTTTTGTATCCTTTCCCTAGTACTGGTATATATGGCACATGAATGGATCGAGTTTCTCTTTCAGCATGGCTTAGAAAGCAGAGGTTGTAAGCTATTGCAGCAAGACACTGGAAGAGTGACTAGCAAGTCTCCTTTTTACCACTTTCTAGACTGAAAAGCTTCAGAGTTGCCAGGTGACAGAATTCAAATACAAAGGATACTGCACTGGTTTAATATAAGTTAAGGTGAGAAATGTAGCTTTTTTTGCCTTCTGCCATGGTATTACATAGAAGAGAAAAAGCTTACCACAGTGCAGCTGGAGATTTAGGTTTGAAAAATAGATGGGGAGTTCCAAGGACACTGATCAATAAAAGGGGAAGGAGATCTTATTTTTATGGACTCATCTTCTGGATTAGTACAGCTTGCAGAGCAATGCCACCCCACATCCTGACTTCTATGACCATTTATAGAAGGGGCTACATAGCTAGAACCAGCAGGAAACCATGACAACCCAATCAACTGGTAGAAATTGTTTAAGTTCATCTGTGAAGTTTTGTGATATGCAGCAATTCCTCAGAAGTCAGGCAAGCCATTCTCTCAGAAAGCATTCTTGTTGCAATTAAAATAAGTGTTCATTTAGTTGCCACAGACTCCAGGATCAGTTGACACCATTTAGTAACACAGGTGCTTCAAGTTGATGTCACACCAATAAGATTAAGAGGTCCAGCAGTGACAGTTCTTGAATTTATTTTGCAATGTATACTGCTTGTACAGGACAAGATACAGTACATATCCACCCACTAATTGTTGTCTTTGACACCAAAACTCACTACTGAATGGAATTAGAAGTCTCTACTTACAGCAGCTATCAAGGACAGCTAGAAGGAAGGGCAGCACACTAAGTGCAGGAGCCATCTTTATTTATAACACATAATATGCATAAATCTCAAAGATACCTGGATTTGGAATAGCATGTTGAGACAGTTAGGGACAGAATTTTAAATATCGGGTCCCAAGGTAGCCATTTTTATATTACTCAAAAGCTTTTAGGAGAAGTTCCACATGGAAGGACTTTTAACTCAGAAATTTGCATTCTTCTGAAGCCAGAGAACTTGAATATGTTAAAGATACCACATCAACCCAAAGTGAGAACTGCAGCAGTTTTCTCTCTTGAGACCTACAGAGGTTACACATGAACCTGGAAACAGTTCACCAACCCATCAAGTTACAAACATCCACTGGCAGGAAAACAGGAACTTAGTACTGCTATTGGCCAAGACTAGCAGTTTCTAGGAAAAAGATAGTATCTGGTTTTGCTTTACTATGGGTTTTGGTTACTCAAGTTGTGTATTTTAAAAAAAAAAAGTGCATGTCCTCACTCGTTCTTCAGGTCAGCAATATGGGGTCAGAGAAACTGCCCCTACATCTACCAAAGGGAATTTATCCACCTCATACTAATTTTCAAACTGCTTTTTGTTAAGAATTCAGTTTTATTGTATTGTTAATTACAAAGGCTTCCCAATAAAACACTCATATGTATTATGAAACCTTACCTTTCTTTGTGAAATTAAAAAAAAAAATCAGTAAAAATTCATTTAGTGCAAGATAGGTTAACATCACACAGTAACTTACCCCAGTAGCATATGGAGAAAAAGCTCTCTTTTAGAGTCTTTTTGGGAGGGCACAGGGATGGAAGAGGAAGAACTTTTTTCCTGCCAAAACTGCTGTTCTATTACAGACTACAGATTTGTACAGATAAACAACTTGCTCTCTAGTTTGAGCTTCATAAATTTTAGTCACGATATGTAAATAGGACTCCAGTTCAAAGGAGTAAGTTACATGTTTTTACAAAACTCCTTTGTGCATTTAATACTCAAGCAACTTCTGTACATGTTTAAGGCATTAAATGAAACAAGTTCTAATCTCCAGCAGCTTGATGCCTGTGCTAGTTTTTGGCAGTTATGCTGCAAAAAAATCCAGGTACATGCTAATTTGAGAGTTATTATTTAAAATGAAGCCCGAGAAGTTCAAATCTGGCATAAAACTCATGGCAGAAGTCTGTGGAATATATCCCATCACACCATGCCTCCAGTTCCCTGTATAGTTTTGTGATTTCACTTCACATCCTGTTTATCATGCCACAGCTTTCACTGTGTTTCTACTCACTGCAAGACAAGTTTTTTTTGAGAGGAAAGCTAGAGTAAGACAGCTAGCTCTTTGTACCTGTCAGGGGACACTTATGCTCTGCAATAAGCTACCAACTACAGATTTTTTTAAAACCTTGAAAGTGAACCCCTATGTTACAGTCCGATGATACTGCTCAGTAAGCACTATATCTAAAGACAGTTTCACTACATTTACACCTACTAATAAAATTTCTTTCAGTCAATGTACTTAGTTGTTTCTCCAAATCTGAAATCTTAGTTCTCAGCAATTATAATAATGTTAATTTATTTGAAACTTTTTCAATGAGAAAAAGTAGTCTTATATTTTCAAGCTCCTGAAAATTTAATTTCAGTGAAATTAAAGCATGTGCTGCTTAAAAGAAAAAATTAGTTGCCTGGTATCAAACTGCATTTTAGAAGGATAAGTTTTACCTTTTGTAGCATCCAAAGATTTAACCATTGCAAGAAAGTCTGAAATCTCTTTACTGAGTCTTTGTTGGCATGCTTGTGCTTTCTGAAAAAGACAGCAAGGATAGCTAGTTCAGAAGTGCTTTGTTGTAAGGAAAGTGTATGCTTATTCTCTTAACTATACTGAAATTTTTAAATTTGGAGAACATTAAATCTTAACAAAGACTCCCAGTGACAGAGACTGGTATGTTAAAACTGAAAGAAATTACTTGAAGTCCCTTCAAAGACACACAAGCAAAATTTATGCACATTATATTGCTGACTGGCTTTTGTTTAAATTAGCATAGCAAACCAAACCCCAAAGCTATGTTGTATGTACCACTTTTGCATTTTTCCCCCTTTTTTATTAAAAAGTTTGAAAACCCAGGAAGAGCCACTGCTTGTTCTTTGACAAACCTAAGGACAAAATAAGCAAATGCATAGGTTAACTGATGTATGGCAAGTACAGCGACATGCAGGAACCCACCCCAAGATCATATTCCAAGCCTGCATTTGAACTTGGAGACAGCTATCTATTAGATACCATCTTCTGCTGTAGGCTGCTAGGAACTGCCAGCAACAGTTATCCTCCCATCCCTGTTCTGCCATGAGCTACTTGTACCAAAAGGTACAAGCCACCTGGAGTTCAGTCACATGAAGATTTTTGCATTGCAGTGTCAAATTTCCCTTAAAGTAAAAGGTTTTAGAAGTACATGTATGGCAAAAAGCAAGAATCACAGGCTAAATGCTAGAATTATCAAGGAAGACTCATTTCCATTGCAGGTCTGAACAATCACTGTACAATGCATCTAACGTGACCTTAGGTGTTAAAGGATCATTTCTAAGCCATTTCATTGCCCATTTTATAGAGGTAGAGCTCGCTGAAGGTTAGCTTTGTTATCCTCCAGTCTTGGTGTCACCAAGTACAGTACACAAGGCTCCCTCTCCTGGCTGAAAGTCTCAAGCAACTTTCTATCTTGCAGTAGTGCTGGTAAAACTGAAAAACATAACCCTGTAGCTATGATAAACATGCCATTTTACGTATGCAGTCCAAACAGGAATACATGACAGTAAGCACTGCAAATACAAGTAGCATTTATGCATCCATGGAAAGAATCATTACTTTTAGCTAAAAGTACACTAAAGTATTTCCATACAAAATAGTACTAATCTGCAACTGCCTAGATGCATGAGCCAAGTACATACTTAGTACATACTTTCAGAGTATCCTGTAGGTCTGTAACAGATACCGTATCATCTTCCTCATCATCACTACTCAACTGTTCCTGTGTGCAGTAATGAGTGCTATAGGCAGAGTGGTCTTCTATTGCTTCCAGCCAACTCTGAATGGAAAAACAACCCCAGAGTTAATACACATTTCAAAGGTCATCCCCAGAAGGCAACAGCATACATGCAAAAGAACAAATTAAAATTTTCTACCGATGTGAATAAGATACTCATTAGTAAAATGAGACACCTTAATGAGAAGAAAATAGAGTGTTTTGTAATGTTTACTCAAGATGAGATACTCTGTAGTCAGAGTGCTATCTAGGACTTAAATGATCAAACTTTAAGCACAAATGCCACCCACCTCTCAGTCTATCCAAGGCTACATAAAAACATTGCATCGATTAAAAGACTCTGGGGAATGTATTTTGCATCTTTAGGTTTCTGTTCAGACAGCAAGGTCTCTGTGACAAAGTCTGCCTTCTTATGCATGACAAACTCTGTGTACAAAACCTCAAGCACTATCATAATTAAGAGGTAGATTCTTTTCCTGTTCATAGAATCACAGAGTGGCTGAGGTTGGAAGGGATCTCTGGAAGTCCTCTGGTTCAACCCCCTCTGCTCAAGCAGGGCCACGTAGCACTAGCTGCCCAGGGACCATATCTCGATGGCTTTTGATTATCTCCAAGGATGGAGACTTCACAACGCCTCTGGGCAACCTGAGCCAGTGCTTGGTCACCCTCACATTTTTTTTTTTTTCTCCTTATATTCAGAGGGAACCTCCTGTGTTTCAGTTTGTACCCATTGCCTCTGAACCTGTCACCAGGCACCACAGAAAAGAGCCTGGCTCCATCCTCTTTGCACCCTCCTTTCAGGTATTTTCCATATATTGACAAGATCCCCCTAAGCCTTCTCTTCTCCAGGCTGAGCAGTCCCAGCTCTCTCAGCCTTTCCTAACATTAGAGATGCTGTGGTCCCTTTAATCATCTTAGTGGCCCTTTGTTGGGCTCTCTTCAGCATGTCTGTGTCCTCTCTTGTCCTGGGGAGCCCAGAACTGGACACAGTACACCAATTGCCTCCACCCCTGCTTCACCTCTAGTTAGTACACCTATAGAAGTACAATAGTAGCTACACTACAAATAGCCCTAAAAAAAAGCTATTCTTTCATTTCAGATCCACCTTTTAAGAAAATAGAGTTTATTAGGTCATCTCTGAGAATGGCTAAGAGTAGAACGTACCATTAAATGTTCTTTTGTTCAGGATAATGAACTATGAAAGAAAGTGCAACAGAAGGAAGTTCCAATATAAATTTACCACATGGAGAAGTTAAAATAAAAAGAGGAAGTTAGACCGCAGGGCGTAATACAGGCACAGAGCTGGAAAACAAGGTGGCACTAATTTTAAAGAAGAGAATGGCAATCTGTCCATTTTTGCTATTTAGTCTATAGTTGTGCTAAAAGATTCAATATATCATTTATGTTACCAAGTCCTGATAATCAAGATACTGAACTCACTACTAATGTATCCATAGCAAGCGGAATGTAAATTATTAATTACAGAAGTTACTAGATTTTGCAGCCTTTGATAAAGAATCATTATTACCTCTCTAGTTTGAGAAGGAAGGCTATTTTTAGGAATCTTGAAACGGTGAACAGTGTCATCAAAACATCTGACAGAAAAGAAGCAACTGTCTGTAGATTTTACCTAAAGCAACATGGAGAAAAGACAAAATTAGTACACTGAATCAGTAAGAAAAGACAAAACTGTTAAGAGTAAGCAAGGTAGAAAATTACTCAACTCAGAAGTTTTTGCCTCAGTTTTGATGCGCAACAACTATAGTTTACAAAAAGCTTGGTCAGAACAGTTTTGCAAAGTGTGCTCTCTGGCACTTTACATCATGAATGATAACATAGAGGTTCTTTATATTTGCATATATTTGCACCACTTGATTCAGACAAAAACTCAGCAATAGTGCAAGACGACCAATATTAAGGAATTTGTAGACTCAGAAAAGCAAGAGTCACTTTTCATATAGTACTGCAGTTTAACAGAATTTGTGCCTCCAATCTATAGAACTAGGACAGGTTAGTTACAGAAGAAAAAGTACTGATGTGATCCTAAATGCATTCTCCTTAAACACTTCATCTTCCTGTGTATTATACATGACACCTGGCTTGCCTTTCCTCTGTCCTCTGCTCATCCCTTCCAATTAAGGAAGTTTTCTAAAAGTCACCTTCAGAATTGATAAGTTGATCTCAGTTGGAGAACTGAAGTTACACAATCAGTCACACATAGCCAGTGACAGCTACAGGAAGAACTACAGCTTTGCTATTCTGTACTACATGTTCCAAACAGTTGTTTTGCACAACATGAGGCATGTTTTTAGGAAGCCTTATGTCTAAGTCTTCATGAGTTTGGAAAGAAGCGAAGGAACTTTATGGCCACTTTACATATAAGAATGCTTGACAAAAACAAGTGTTTCTTGCAGAGTAACAACACAAGCTTTTTCCCATTTTTATAACAAAGGCACACTTACCAACCTAGCTGAAATTTTCATTGTCTAGGTATGGAACACCATCACATAAAAACCCAGTAGTTACAATTCATTTCACTTCCTACCGTGCAGACAGCTTGTGTTAGATGCTTGCATCCCTGACGATGATCATTATTTGCTGCATCAGCTCTTTGAAAGAAAGAGAGATTTAATACATTCAAGATAAGAATTATTTAAAATTGCTTATCAGAAATTCAAACACTGAACTTACTGTCTCCGATACCAGGAAAGGACTCCATGTTCTAGAACTATCCAGTAGAGTTTCCAACCAAAAAATCGTGAGCTCTAAAAAAATTAAAACAAAAGCAAAACAAAAAAGGCCCAGTAAGGTTAACAGCTGAAGAGTTACTATTTCCAGTAAGTTTGATAGCTTGAAGGCTATTACATAAAACTGGCAGTTATTAGGAAAACATTTTAGGTTTTAGATATCTTGGTGACCACAGCAACCTGAGAATACTTTACAATTACAGTGCTATTTTCCTTTTTGGAAACACCTGGAGACAAAAGATTTGTTGAGCCTGCTATTCAGTAAGAAGTGAAATATTAAAATGCTGCATTTTTTAACATTACAGGAGTCATTGATCACCACATAATTCTATTTTATAAAATCAAATGAGAAACAAAACACATTGAGTTATCTCAAACTACAACATTTTACCTTTCACAAGCTTTAGTACATAGTTCTGGTCTAAAAAAAGTTCCTTATATTACAATTGTGAGTGAATACATACAAAAATTTACACTGAAGAAAACTTCAAAGATTCTTTGAAGATTTCATTAAGGACCACAAAAATTAAGCATTTATGTAGAAGACAGAAAACTTGTTTAAACAAGGAGAAAAAAAGAAGATTCCCTTGACTTGAGCAAAACAAGCATTAGACAAGCATTTGACTGACATCTTCCCTTTAAGTTTTAAAGTTTCCAGAAGATTGTGAACTTGTGGCAAAATAATAGTTATAGATTATTAGAGTAAGACATCTATTCAGGAAATAAAATAAAAAAAACCCAAACAAACCACAAACACCCCCCCCCCCAAAAAAACCCCACAACATTTTGCCCACCACACAGACAAGGCACAAAACCTTACTACAGTGAAGCTTTGCCACAGAAATTACCAAGAAATTAAGAGAGATTTTGGGGACCAACGTTAAGATCAGAGTTCCATAAATCTAGTAACTGCTCCATTCAGCCAGCCCCTCTATAATCCATCCAATATACTACATTAAAGTCAAGTCATTTAACAAATGTATTATTGAAAAGCTCCCTCATTCATCAACTCACTAAGTACAGAAAGTGACATACTTTGAGATCTTGTAAGCTATTTTAGAACAGGAAATAAGACATACCTTCCATAGGAGACCTTCGTATCGTCTCAGGGGTTTGTTGATAACCTGCATAGAAATTAAAGCTTATGCAGGAATAGCTTCAACCAGACAGCCTTGGCAAGTGGCATTTTAAATGGGTACAAAAGTTCCTACCTTTCCAGTTTTACCTCCCAGTATCAGTTTCATTTCTGCACCTTGGGCTAGATCAAGGGGTGTCTGATCTGTTTAGTAATCAAGACGAGGCATAAGAATTTGATGCATATAAACCTAGACGACATACTTAAAAATAATCACTCTGACACTGTGTTTACCCATTCGAGTATGGTCCCACAAGCATCTAAGTTTACTTGGAACTGGGGAACATAAGCTCCTCAGGGCCAGAAGACCAAAAAAAGGCTCTGAACTTTAGTGCACTGAACTGCCCTTCAGAGTTCTACTGGCCACAGAGGAGGCCTTTGCTCTTACTTAAGTTTGGTTTTGCACTTCAGCTGTATAGAACAGTTCATAACATTCACAAATATCAAGACAGAGGCATCTTTAAACAGATGACAAGTACACAGTCTGCATAACATCTGCATAAAATTTTCCTGGATTTGCTCCCATTAGAAGCCTTCTTCTGAACAGTCACTTTGTCTGGGCCACAACTTCAATCTTATCACTTTCTTTGTTACCTGTGTTCAGTGTTTAGCATGAAGAAAACAAAATCCAGGCACATTTCATGGTTAAGACAGACAACAGTTCCATTCTTCTAGAAATGGGTAAGTTTGGAAATAAAAGCATGTATGGTAAGTATTTTGCTACAGTTCTTAAGTCTCTTGCAACTTAGTGTTGGGCTTCCTTTATTAGTGATACAAAGCTTGTAAAGCACAGCAAGACTTTGTTGATTGGTAACAAGCTCATAGAAGCTGTTAAATTTCTGTCTCTTCTTAACACTTTATGTACTTTCAATTGGTACTCACCATTTTTGTTTCTTATTTTAGGATCTGCTCCGTTTTTTAGAAGTTTCAATGCACAGTGCTTATGGGCACGGTACGCTGCACAATGCAATGGTGTGTTCCCCATCTGATCTGTACAGTTGATATCAGGTGGTTTGGGCTTGTTCAACTGGAAAAAACAAAGTTTTTCTTACTTATCAGTTTTCCTCCGCCTTCAGATGCCACATTCATTCTTTTGAAAGTTAGCTGTTCCTAACTGTGATGCTTCAGTGTAGATCTGGCAACAAAGAGGGCATGTAGCAAGTGTTATGAGAAGGGCAAGGACTACAACAATCAAGGAAGATGTTCAGCTAGAGTAAGGGACTTCTCAGTTTTTTGCTTGCTATACCCTTTCCACATCTACTGCACAACAGGGAAACATTTATCCTGCTCAATTCCACGGTGCCAGAGAGAGTTCCCTAGCATTGCAGTTCAGTCATTTATACTGCTGGAATGGGCCTGTCTGATTCTACTGCCAAAATGTACTGTTCTCTGTATAAGACTCCCAGGCACAGTCTGAAAATTCACACAGGCCAGTGCTAAATCCAGAACAAGTTTGTGTGACCACCCTGTTTCAGAGAGTAAGAACTTTGTACAGAAGGGTGGCAGGCCTGCCAGTCTCAGTGACAGAGCTATCCTAGGCCATCTAGAAACTCCCAGTAGAGGCAGTCTGTTATACAAACAGTTTTGCTGTATTCTGAGGTCTAACTATTGGAGGAACTTAAAATTAGAGCAGCTACGTAACTGAGAAGAAAACCCCTGAGTTTTCCTTGGACATAATATAAATGTTTTGAGAAGCTGACCCCAAAGAGAACAGTCATGAAGCATAACACTAATAACTGCCCTAAAACACCACTCCACTTCTACTCAAATATGTGGCTGTTGGATATGTATATGGGGGTTGGACTAGATGATCTTTAAAGGTCCCTTCCAACCCAAACCATTCTATGCAATATCAGCCATTATAGTTAAGCTTCCAAGCCAAATGGAACTGCCTTAATAGAAAGGGTAAGTTACTGTTAAGCTGTCTTAGGAGACTAGAGTCACAAGTGCATGACAATTTTAGAGAAACTCAGTTAATGCCTTCTGCATTAGCTATATGTATCTTAGAGAAATTACTCCATAATAACAGAATTCCCATGGCAGCAATTTAAGCTAGTGTCAACCATAACCACCTTAAATGTGCTTCAGAAATAGACCTATAAAGGATAAACTGCTACTGCTATAAAACTGTTACTTACAGTTCAACTGAAAAGAGAACACAAGTCAAAAAAGACAGCTTGTGGAAGTATAACCTCATTAATAACTGCGGTCTTAAATACCCAAGTTCCTGAGGATTCCCAGGTTTTAGCTCCTTCCGACCAGCTGTTTTACATCTGCCTTATCTCCGCCTCTCCTGACTCCTTGCCTCCACACCTCTTAAGCTGCATGCCTGTGCTTTCAGCAGCTCACACCTTGTTACAAGGCAGTATTTTGAAGAAAGTTTCATGCATAGACTCGAGATAAAAAGCTCTCCGGTTATTTCAGTAAGGCTACAGTACATTTTTGAGAACTCACAGGAAGAATGCACCAGTTTTGCCTTAAGTAGACTAAAAAGCTCAGGTTAAGACTCAGCTACTGAAGGTCTAGGTTTTAGTAGCAAAACATGCTGTCATCTAGCGAGAATCCTGACAGAAGAGAAGCACACAAAAGCCACCATTACCATTTGACTTCAAGAAACTTCAACAGAAGGAGCAGTTATAAAGTTAAAGTGCATGCAGGAAAAGGAGAAAGAATGGTCTAAAGTCAAATCAGAAGGTTTAGACAAACTTCACCATCAAATTATCTCTTCCAGACAATTGTGTTGGAACACGCAATACAGTCTTTTTCAGTAAAAATAATCTAGATAAAGGGGAATTACCAATAAAAGGGTATCTTTCAAGTAAGTGGCACTCTGTTCCAAAAGGAGGGCAGTAGAGAACAAATTCTGGTGTGTTAGTTCTCACAATAAAAGTAGATTTAAGCAACTAAAGAAGTTTCATAAGCATAATAGTCTGCTAATTAAAAAAGATACAGTAGGAGCAGAAAGGTCTGAACATCAATAGGCAATGTGTAAGGAATTCTTAAGATAAAGGGCAGTTCAGAAGAGCTACACAAATTCTCCACAGAGGTATTAACCTAAGAGTAGGAAAGTCAAGGAAGTTTACAGCACAGAACTGTAAGTGGAGAAAGTTCTTTGGACTTCCCTAGAGTCAGCAGGACTTTTAAAATTGTAATTCAACAGCCAGAGGTCCAAGTACTCACCAAAGGACTCCAGGAAAAACCTGTATGACTTGACTTAAAAACTGCCTCAGGGTCAAAAAAGTGATAAGTACTTTGAAAAGTTTTAGATGTCAACATATAGCTGTCCTCACATATACAGAGCTCAATTATACTAAATATAAAAAACCCACTTAGAAATGGAAAATGTTACATGTGCATGCATGGTTACATGCCACATGAGAGAAAACACAAAGTTCTTTAATGACAGATTTCTATGATGAGTCACATTTTTCTGATTTTTTCTGCATCAATTTAAGGCTTAGTCAGCAGGCACGCAACATCAAATGCAACAAGTGTTAGGAATTACCAGAATCAAGAACAGATCACTTATGACAGTGTATTAATTATAATTAATACAATCATGCCGATGTATTAATGCACTATACTTCCACATCTTAAGTACTGTGTACAGCTCTGGTTTTCTCTCCATTTCGAAGAGGACAGTGCAAAGAGTACAAATAAAAATCACAAGGATGACCAAAGATTTAAAAGCAGTTTCCATGCAAGAGGGAGTTAGAAAGACAAGGGTTCTTCAGACTAGAAAAGATAAATTTAGAGAAGGGAAAGATAACAATTTTGAACAGGTGTTCACTCTGGCTTCTAGGCAGAAAAGGAAAGAATGTCAGATTTCAACATACAAATCTCATTTATGAATTTTCCATTAGAAGTGAGCAGAAGCATTCAGACTGCTTTGATGCCTTAAAAGGTATTACCTAAAGGTGCTAGCCAGTTCCACACTGCACATCTTGCTTCCAAGGAAACTCTTCAGGACTCTCAAAAGCTTGAGTTCAAGCACTGAGACCCTGCTTCAGAATCCAACTGGATATGGTCCTGGGCAACCTGGTCTAGTTGACTCTGCACTGCAGCAGGAGTTGGACTAGATCATCTCCAGAGGCACCCTTCAGTCTCAATTATTCTGTGATTTTCTTCTCCTATAACCTTACCAAGGTATTGTTCAGCTTGAATTACTACTACAAGAGCACGTGTGCGCATACAGTTTTCAAGTCCCGCTCAGTGTGAAATTGTGTTCTGCAGATGACAGTCCATTTAAAAACTACACAGACTTCAGCTGCAATGCTGATGACAAAAGCTTACTTTCAAGATTTAAAATAGGCCATACTGTGGTGAAAACCTAAGCACCCATAACATTAAGGTATCCACAAAAACCTAACAAGCTTATATCAGTAGACCAAGAACCATTACACTGCTATTTACAACTAACCAAAGAGTATTTAGAAAGAAGCTGAAAACCATTGTTTTGCAGCCTCCAACAAGGAGTCTGGAAAATCCTTGAGGGTTCAGCACCTTACCAACATAACATGGTGCACAACACTAATATTCTGAAGTCACAGCACTTTGAAATGCAAGGCCTAACGTCACATGCTGTTACATTACCATTATGCCTTGAACCACTTGACACAAAAGTATCACAAGCACTTGAATTCTTACCAAGGCAGTCAGTTTCCCTGTTTCACCCTCTCTTGCTGCTCCTAAGAGTTCTTCTTCCAGTTTCCTTTCTTGTGTCCTTTCCACTGCTATTTAAAAACACACACATATTTAAGGTCAGTCTCAGTGAAGTAGCAAGCACATATAAAGTACAGCATTCAAAAAACTGTATCAAAACAAGCCTAGGGAAACAAGAGTTTCGAGTATTATTTATTTGGGACAGGTATAAATGGAGTATTTATTCAGAAGAGTGTGTCAGAGCAAAAAAAATATTCAACACCATGTAATATTTGACAAGATGCGTAAGTGCGTATACACATGCACAAACATATATATCTTTGGCTTTTTTTTTCTTTCAAACACTTAAACAACCCCACTCCCTAGTAAAAAGGAAAACAGGGGAACTACGTGACACCCCCATCAGATCTTCCCTGTGTTCTTTTCAATTTCTCTTCTACTCTTCCTATCACCCTACCGAAATCTTATTCTTCTCTAATGATCCAGCAGGTGAGCAGCAGAAAGGACTATTAGCTGTGCACTTGGATGTAGAATCAGAAGATAGATCACTTTTCACACACACAGTCTGTGGTATTGGACATGGAGCTTCAGCAGTATTTAGGGGTATCACATAATAATACCATGAAGCAACACAGTTCTTGAAGCCTCCAAAACTATAAGCAGTGAGCCTGTGTAAGTATTTGGACACTATCTCCCTCACTTTCAATGCCTGTGAGGCAATGGAGGAAATGAAGGGAATTGTTTTTACTTTTTTGTCCTTTTGACATAACCTCCGAGATTGCAATAGCAAGTCCTAAAGTTGATCCAGAACTGGGTCACCTTTGCAAACTCTTCAGAATTTTGCCCTTTCATTATTTTTGTTAACACAAAGTCACTTACTACTCTTGACTTGAAGAGTCTTTCCTCTTCCAGTGAGCTAAGGCTTTGACTGCCATGTACCATTCAGAGCTGTAGCAAGGATTACCCCAACAGGATTGAAATAGTTGCTTAAATAATGCTATTGGCATTCATGATACTTAACTCTGCAAGTCACTTGCAGACATATTGTGAAAAAATACCCCACAACTGTCCGTAGCACAGACAGGAACCAAAAACTGTAACTTTTTTCCTTCTAATGACCAAGCTTAAAGAGAAAATTCCATTAAGCTTCTGTAACTTTCAAGAAAAAAAAGTCAGCTTTTAGAACGTACAAGTGTTGAAAAAAAAAACCCCACAGGCTATGACCTCTTAAAGTTACCTTCCAACATATTCCTTATGTCTTTATCATGAGTAACTTCTTTTGCAGTTTCTCCACTCCCATTAACAATAGAAGTATCAGCATTACGCTGCAAGAGTAACATCACCACCTCCTGGAAAACAATTTGAAAAATACTGCTTATCTATCTCTGTTATGGCAAGGCCACAATCAGGCTTTCCAGCTACTGACATCCTGCAAGATGAGCTACATATCGCCTTCTCACCACTACTGACTTACGAAAACAGGAAGGGATGTTTCAGAGAGATTGAAGAGTGGGACTAACTGCAACCTCCTCACGTCAGCCAGGCTGAAGGAACTAACAGGAGATTAGTTACGGCTGAACAGACCCGCTCCTATTTAAAAGCTGGTGTACCTGGTGCAAATGCTGAATTTGACAGATAAAAATAGTACGATTGGCTCTTTTGATAAGAGACTAAGTAGTCACTCCTTCAGAAGGGCCAAGAGGTTATCCATAGAGGTAGTACTAGTTTGGGAATGATGGTGGCATGTGGGGAACAAACTAGTCTCACATTACAGGCCTATAAAAAGCTCTTTAGTTCTCATTTTCTATGCAGAAACAACACTTCAAGACACCAAATGGACCAGTATGTCCTAATTTATAGTTTTTTCCCCTGCAGAAGCCACTAAGATTAAAACATGGTTTCTCTCTATGTAAATAGACAGTTAGTTAGGAGGAACAATCCCTATTCTTTTTACCATGTCAAACACACCAGGCACAAACACAAATTAATCTGTTGTACTTTAGCAGTAGATGGGAGATCTTTACACTGGTTTCCACATGGTAATTAGCACCTGCAGCTAGAGGTAGTGCTATGCTTCAGCATTTTCTCTGACAGACAGCAGAAGCAACATCACTTACACAACTGATGCAGTGCTACGGTGGAAAACAACTACTATTTTTTTCTGTCTGCCAGAAAAATCTTCCCCAATAAACAGCTAAGAAGAGATATGACAGAGTATACCAAGGACTTCATCTGGTATAGACCAGAAGACTAGTCCATGTCTGGACCATGGACCAGTCTTCTCTGTCTTCAAGAAGAGGTATTTGTAACATGTTTTTGTTTTGGCAATAGGCCTGCTTCTTGCAAACGCACTATACCAAAACAGACAGTAAGTCATTTTTAGACATGGTAAAAATATCTTTTTGAAATTATCTTGCCACTAGCATTTCCTTAATAATTCTGTGACTGAGGCTTTAAAAAAAAAAAGTGAACATACTTTACCTTACGTCCTGTGAAAGCTGCACGATGGAGTGGAGTGTCCCCCATATCATTCAGCACATTCACATCTGCGCCAGCCTGAACAGCAAGACCAAAAGACATCTGAATGTCCTTCCAACAAGAACTACATAGCTATTCCCTTTGACTGGGGGAAGGGGAAGGACAGGACACTCATGTAGGACCCATGGCAAATCGGATCAGAACTGTAAGACAGCTATCCTGGAAATGAAGTACCTACGTGAGATTCATAACCAGCATTCTGTAAACCACTTAAAAAAAGGAAAAGCCTCCTGCATTTTTTTCCAGCCATCTCTCTCACTTTTGAGAAGAGGGTATATAGAAAGTAAGTTTCACAGAGGGGGTGCAGGTGTTGTTGGTTTTGTGTTTGGGTTTTTTTCAGGGGTGGGACAGTAGGTGTTGGAAAAAAAACAACACAAAAAACCAAACAACTTACTGAAAGAACTGCAATGATACTGGATAACACACACATACATATTACTGCAGATGTACACACAGTAGCACCAGCCTCCAGGTGCTCCTGACTTGACATGTGGCACTCTCTCTGGGCACCTATTGCTGCTCTTTTACTTGAAGTGAAAACTTCTATGTCAGCATTAAGATGGCACCATCTGAAGCTTAACCCTTCTCCTCCCTTTTCTCTTCTACAATCTTTGTTTTGAATCTCCCTTCCTCTTGTCACACGCTTTCTCCATCCCATACCTTTTCTCTGAAAGGAAGGCTGCTTGCACAGGCATTGTTCCAGGATACCAAGAAATCCAACCCTTCTTTTCTTTAAGCATTTCTTCTACACCACTTTATCTAACCTCTCAAAAAGTCAGAAAGAGGGCAGGACATATATAACTATGGCACATGTTTAAATCATATAATTTAGCCAGATCACTGCTGCCTGCCTAAACTTAATTGATGAACCTGACTCTAGTTTCAGAGCTCTCTGATAATACCTCACTCACTCTTTGAGCACAAAATCTAGGCACAAGTACGCAGACACCCCTACATATGCCTAGCTTTCAGAGGTGCACAGCCCCCTTTATTATTCCACTCATTCTTGAAATAATACTCTTTCAAGAGCCCTATCAGCAAAGGAGAAATCACAAAGTTACACATACTCTTCCAACTCTGGAAGTGTTGATAAATGCACTAAGTGACAAAACTTTTACCTTTTGCTTTAAGCAGCCCTCTTGGATTGAGAACGGCATTATCTACTGAGCAGGTGTATAGGCTAGAGAAGAACTTCTCAAGGAAATCACAACTTGGTGTCCTGCTTTAGTCACGATTATGGCTGGTAGCCTTTATTCTGAATGAAATTCAAGTTTAGGTTAGCTACCTTTATATTTGAGGCTGTTTAGCATGTTCCTGCCATCTACAGCAAAACCTTTCAAATGGGAATAGGGTATAATACAGTTAAGGTTGGGCTGAAGCTACCCTGAGAGCTGAGGGTAAAAAAAATAAACTCAGCCAGGAACAACTACAAATGCAGTGCAGATGTGGCTATGAAGATACAAATAGGTCAGCTTTGACCGCAGAGGTTCATCATTTCAAAGTTCATCATACAGTTCATTATCTCAAAGATGTTAGAAAGAAATAATGAGTCAAACTATGTTAGCCTGTGCCTGGAAACATATACCAGTTACTTGGCACAGAATTCTGGACATATTTCTATGCACAATGTCCAATTAGATCATAGAATCGTTTAAGTTGGAAAAGACCTTTAAGATCATCCAGTCCAACCATTAACCTAACACTACCAAGTCCACCACTAAACCAATTAAGGGTAGAGCAGCGATTTCATGTTTCCTGGCTTGGTGGGTGGATTATTTTTAAATGAAAGTAAAAACTAGGAATCATTAA